AGTTTGTTAGGTTTTTATACATTAATAAACACTAATGCTTGCATAACCTGACTAAATTTTACAACTTTTGTTAACTTCAGTGATATCAACATTTTAATTTTGCCCAAACTCTCGTAACAAATCTATATGTGCAGGTAAAGAGTTTCAGTGCAATAAGTATCCTAAACAGAGTTGAGTAATGACAAATTCATTGAAAGTAGCAAGAAAACTTAATGTTGATAGTTACTCATGTGGCTTTAGTTTGGAACATTTCCATGACAACTTCTGTGTTATAATTAATTATTCCTTATGTACAATAATAAACCAATAGTTTCTTATTGAGAAGACTGTCTCTCAATTGTATCTACATGCTAAGTTTCCAGACACATCACAGAGCCTTGTTTTACTTCCAGTTTTATGATTCAAAAACACTAATTGTGAGTATTGACTAAATTTAGCAGTAACTCATGATACAAAAATGTGATTGAACATAAACTTTTGTTCAGGTAGAAGAGTTACAAGTATTTATTTTGATCACCTTGTTATGTAAGGAATGTATTTTTCAATCAAAGGATACATGATAAGGTTAGAAATAAAGGTTATTTGTAATCCAGTCAGGATTGTTCTATATTTTTCATTGCTGGTTATATGGTTTTAAATATTCATACCTTATGTAAATAAAATAATGTTCAAACCAAACTTAAAACGAATTAAACATGAAACCGTTATTACATTTTTCTTGAGTTACTGTTTTCTTCAACTTGTAACAAAAGCCATTTAATTTCTAGAGGTCATGAAAACAGTAAATTTATAATAAATGAGAATATTTTTTAAAATCAGGTGCTGTTGGTACAAAGTTTAAAAATAAATGAAATTATAGAAAATCTCATTTTATTCTTATATTTCAGATTTCTTTGCACCAAGGGTAAAATTGAAAATATAACCTGTGATGCACATGTGTAATGTGTTCTTTGGTAAAGCCAATCAAAGAATATATTATGCCTGTACATTACATATTTTATTTTTGGTGAAACAAAGAAATCTGTGATACAATTATCATCAAAAAGTTTGTCCACTGTATAATACCAAACAGTAAGTTTTGGCACCATGCCACAATATTATTACATACCAAGCTTAATTTCAGTTACTAAATGGTGAGTTAAAAGGACTTAAAGTTTTGATAAATCTCATTTTATTTTGTTTATTTGTATAAATGTACCTGCTAACTAAATATTCAACATAGTTACATCTTTTCTGATATGAAAAACAGGTGTAGTGCACTTTGGTCAGCTGTGAATCTTCGTTCCAGTTCTAAGTTACCTGCCTTATTTTTGTCAAAATAAATGTTGGGCCATAAAATCTTTGACTGAACAGTTAGTAAAAAATAAAAACAAATTGTTGTTGTTAACTAATAATCAGTTGAAATATATAAAAAGAAGAGTAACTTATTAAGCCTAATAACTAACAATGGCAATAATATTTGCAAGTGCATAGATACTACAGGGGTATTGATACAGTTTCTTATTAAATGCTTTCAGTGTTGGAGTGAGCAAGGCCCAGTGGTTAGTGTAGTGGAATGTAGGGCCATGGATGCATTATTATAAGAGTGATAGTCAAATCCTGCCATTCAGTTAGAATAGCCCATGAGTTAACAGTAGGCATTGTTGACTAGCTTCCTTCCCTCTAGTCTATCATTTCAAAATTAGGCATAATAGAGCAGATAGCCCTTGAGTAGCTTTGCTTGAAATTCAACAAAACAACAATAACCTTCAATGATTGAGAAATTCATCCAAATCTGACCGCCTTGATGTCATTTCAAGTTTACAGACAGAATACATGCATACTCTGATTAATAAAATATTTCTTAATATTTTCAAGGAATGTTAGATTATATAAAGCTGCAAGATTTCTGAAGTAGAATAATATAATTAACTCTTGAAATTTACATTTTTTACAAGGTGCCTTCATCGGTGACATCAAATATATTAACTAATACTAATAAACATCTTTCTATCCTACTAGATAATACTGATGATAAATGGGCAAGCCATAAATGTTTTAAGGGATACTAGTAATTAGAAAATTGGTGGGAAGTAGTTTGTAAGTAATCAGCTCACAGGTGATACATCAGATTAGATTAGGTTTAGTGCCATAGCAAGAGGGGTTTGGTATGTTGTTCCATTAGCTAAAGTCACATTGAAATGTCCAACTTTTGAAAGTGTAATAGTCGTAAGGTTGGCGAATGGTATACCACACCCAGTTTTGCTTGGTAATTAAGTGGAAGTTGCCGAGTTGCAAAATACACCAGTAGCAATGGTAACATATACCAAAGTAGCCAGTGAACAAATGAAATTAGAGAAAACTGACACAGGGGTAGGAGTTAGTGAAGAAATAAATCAAGTAAATAATACAAATAATGTCTTTTTAACTTCTGTTAGAAAATGGAATATGAATCAAAAACAAAATTTAGTGGCAGTTAAAAAAGATGAGAGTTTTGGAAAATACTGTAGTGATGCTGTGGTAAAGAGACTGGAAGTAACTAAACTGGGGTGAAATCATTGCAACTGGCAGGAATGAATGTAAAGGTGTAAATTGAATGAGAATAATTCAATAGAAAGTAGGGATCAAACAGTACTTCCAAAGAATTGTAGACAGACAGTATTAGAGTTAGGGCATGATATAATGTTGGCTGGACATTTAGGCAAAGCGAAAACAAAAGATATGATCAGTTAATACTACTAATGGCTGGTATTTTGGGAGAGGTAGAGACTTAAGGGTGAGAAAGCAGTCGGTTTTTTTTATCAGTCTATTTAAATGATTAGGAGATTACAGTACTCCAAGTCATTAGAAAATTATTGGCGGGATCGGGCGCCTTACTTGTTTAGCCGCTGAGAAGATAGCGGAACCACCTATGATTATGGGATGTAACCTAGTATAAGGGAAACAAATGTGTTCTGCTTAGTTTTTGAGAAAAAAAATAAAAGACAGAAGTTTAACATAAGAAGGATAACTGGAAAATGTGTGAGCAATGAGCGATCGAAAAAACCGAGAGAGGGGCAAGGAAGTATTATGCTGTTAGTAAGAACAAAATCTCGTTTTAACTCTGTGTGTGCTGTTTATAATTGTAATAGACAGTAATTCGTTAGGTATATTAGCATGAGTTGGTTCCCGATAGGAATTAGTACAATTTCAATAAAGTTGAAGGGAAAGCGAAGTGCAAGTATAGCACGATTCTAACAAGGTAGTGTCAGAAGCAGTCTACAACAATTTGCTAATTTCCCTTCTTCACGAAAATGTGAATTTCAGTGAAGATGAAGTACAGGCTTAATCATATCTTTGATTCGATACTCTCGTTGTAATGGACTAGTTTCGTCGAAATCAGGCTCATCAGTGCTGGTTGGAAGAGCGAAGCAAATAAATATATTATGCTTCATACAGTGGTTTAATGTATGCAGTATGATTTAGAGGTATAGGTATAGTCTCGCTTACATTTACTGGCTTCCTATCTTTTAACAATATTACCAATTGCATTGGTAATATTGTCAAAATTTTATCTTGCAACATCGAACCTACGATTTTGTTAACGTTTCCAGTACAGTTAGATATTTCGAATTTTTTAGGAAATTTTTGGAAGAAAAATAAATACTTTTTTGTCGCCACGAATTTTTAGGCAAACAACGAAAAAGCCGAGAAAAATTGGGGCAAAAGGGGATAAAATTCCTAAATGGATCATGTGACGTACACTAACTAGTCTGACGAATTCTGATAGTTTTAGCACTTTATCTTTATTTACATCTTTTCCGTTTATATATACAGAAAATGCCGATTATATTTTTATTCGTGACGTGATATTTAACCCTAAGCATACCGGAGGAAAGGTCAAAGTGCACACATTACAATCTTTTACAGAGTTAAATTAAAAATTTAATTAAACAACTTTTCAGATTTGGGCGAATGGATTGGGAACTGAGATTAGTGTAATTAATTTTGGTACACTGGAAGAGTTTTATTACCACAATCCTTTTACTAGCTCTGTATACAAAGACATTCAGATTATTTATGTATGTTGATTATTTCATATAAAGTGTATTTCATATTTCTGTATTTTGATTCACATTTTGGCTGTAATCAACCCTATTAAACAAGACTGGTGACTTCTGCAAGGAGCGGAAGTTAAACCAATAAAAAAAGAAAAAGAGAGAGAATAGATGAAAGATATATATATACCTGATGTAATCCCATTAAAAAAAAAAAATTGTTACGTATCTGCTTGTCTAATAATTTCCGGAAGAAATCCTTTCTGAGGAACTTCGGCGATACAAGTCCTTTCTTGATTAAACCAGTTTATTCTTTCTCGATACAAACTCTTAGTACACAGTAATTCCACATTCAATACGTTTCTCGTTAACAACTTTTATAATACACGTTATAAATCACAGTGATTCACACACTTTACTTACTGTCACTACTGTTCGCTTCTTTAATTATCTATCTATAGCTGGATATTCTGCCGGGCTTATATACTACAAAGGGGGCGCCTCAAATGCACTCGGGCCTCCCCGATCATTCGAGAAATTTCATGCACGCTACCAGCGCCAAACCCGC